TGTGTGTGTGTGTGTGTGTGTGTGTGTGTCTCTCTGTCTGTCTGTCTGTCCATCCATCTGTACATCCGTCCGTCCATCAGTCCATTTGTCTGTCTGTCCGTCCGTCCGTCCATCCGCTGTCCTTGCGTCCGTACGTCCCTCAGTCTGTCTTCCTGCCGGCCTGTCTGTCTATGTCTGTCTGCCTGCCTGCCTCCCTGTCTGTCTGCCTGTCTGTCTGTCTCTTTCTCCCTGTGCCGGACAAACCCAGAGAAAGTTTGCACCGTGTGCTGCTAGTATTCTCTGCAATGTGTGAGTCTCTTTTCGTCACTTCTCCACTCTTTTTGTCACTTCGTGCCAGTTCGTGGAGAATAATACTCTTGCCAAATGCCATTGGTATTTGATCTGTGGGGTGTACATTTTGTTTTCACTTGTGTGCTGTGTGTTGTACTTGTATTTTTCGCCCGTGGTGTGCAAAAAAAGAACCGCACCGTATGATGGGAATATCGTTTGGCCACCCGGGGCTAATCCGTTTCCACCAAGTGCATGACCGATGGCTTGGCCCAGTCTGCACTTCCGTGAGGCTCACTTATGATAGCGGATGCGCCATCATGGCCCATCCATAGCTCGTCGAGGCTGGACCATCCCCCTGGCCCCAGCCTGCAGTCCGGCAGGGCTCAAGTTTCTTCGTGAGGAGCTGCACCATTTGTTCGGCATCCAAATGGTGAAAATTCAGACTTGGCTTGTCGGTGAATCATACACAGTATTACACACGTGTAACTGTTGATAACCAGATCATGAGTTCGAATCCTCGTTGATTTGAAAAAAAACAAGAAAAGCACTGATTGTAGTCTGAATAAAGGAGGACTATGTAAACTGTGCTCTGTTGTGCGGCCATGCCCTAACCAGTATCTGAATGGCCCTGCATTGAACAGGGGGCTTTCGTGCAGATTCTTGCAGGGGGGGTAGAGCACCCCCCTTTATGATTTGGGAATTGGAAACGGACGCATTCAGTCTTGCAGTGGGCATAGTACCCTGCAAGAGTTGCACCCTCACCACCAGACTCTCACAGGGGGAGTGTATAGTACCTCCTCCTTACGAGTTGGGCCCTGGAAAGGGGATCTAGGACCCAGTCCCAATGCATCGGCACCCAGAAAGGGCATATAGCTCAACCGTCACCACCTGACTCTCACAGGGGGGGTATAGCACCTAGTCCCAATGGGTTGGGATCTGGGAAGGTGGTATAGCACCACTCTTGTAGTGGTTACAGCACTGTGGAAGACTTGCACCTCCACCATTTTCACCACCGGACTCTCACAGTGGGTATAGGTGGGTATAGGTGGGTATAGCACCCACCCTTGGAGGGTGTCTGTCATCTTCCAAGAGTGGCTCCTTCGCCTCAAAAGGCAGGGACTAAAGCGCACATCCCCAATGATTACAGGTTGAGACCTGGAAAGGGCACACCTAGTGGATCCATGACTGAGCATAGAATGTTCCCAATGTTAGTGGATCTGTGAAGCATTGGCAAACATGGAAATCACCTCCTTCAGCGCACCAATACCAGCAGACCCTTCATTGTTGAACCTAATTATTCGGCGCTGGAATGAGTTGAACCAGTCCCCGCCGGGACGAGTCGATGACACACTCCTCCCTCAAGGTGAGGAGCCCCGTGTTCTGCCTTAAACCACCAGTACATCCGAAAAAGCCGATTCATTTTATCGACGTGGCCTCCGGACTCTTAGGAGAGGCTCCATCTGCTTTTTCAGCTGTACTAAGTCTTTTCAAGGCAACCCACCATGCCATCCCCACTGCCGACCTTGGCCTTCTGTGCAGATAAGCTGTCATCCGTAAGCAGATCCAGACGTCAGAATCGCTTGACAGACCAAACTCCTGTTGGAGTATGCACTGCATGACTTCCAACCATTTCGCTTCCCGGGCTACGGACTCACTTTCTGCACCCATTTCGCCAACAAGGCTGTGTTTTGTCGTTCCAGGTCCACAATCCCAAGACCCCCTTCTGTTTTGGGACGGCCACCTTGTCCCAGGAGACTAGTAGTAATGAAGCCACTTTTCTCCTCGTCTCCTGGTTTCCGGAGGTAATGGGCAGCCATGGACTTGAAGGGTACATCTGGAGATCAGAGTCGCGGCTGCAATATGCCATATGAGGGTGAAGATGGAGGCTGAGATCACGATTGCTCTTCCCGCTGGGGAGAGGCCCATGGCAGGTCTGCACCTTTCAGTTCTGGCTTCTACTTCGGCTGCCATTATGGTGTCTTGAGTCTGTCTGCTGGAGGAGAGAGAGACTTGCAGACCCCCAGATACCTCTCGGAGTGCGCCTCATGAATCCTTTTCATGGTCCGATCATCCGTAAGGCCATACTCCTGAGGCAAAAAGTAAACTGATTTATCCCAGTTTACTTTTGCCTCCAAGAGATTGCAATAATGATCCAGAACCGCCTTGGCTGCGCCTACCAATTCGTCTGTTGCTTCGGTAAAGAGGAGTAAGTCATCTGCAATCGCCCCTGTGGAAACCTCCGCCCCATATCACTTAACTCCAGGTATTTCAGCAGAGGAGCAGAACTCCAGGTCTTTCAGCAGAGGAGCAGCCCGCGGTGCATTCAGTACCACGTCCATCTGCAGCACGAAGAGGAGGGGGGAGCTAGCAGGCATCCCTGACGAAGCGAGTGCGTGAGCGAGAAGGTTCCCATTGACCAATGTTGATGTTGCGGACAAGTACTGCCTCCGAACCACGCAGGTCCAAGCCTGCCTCCGCCACCCATCCCAGTCCATCCTCGGTCCATTCAAGCACGATCTGGAGGGCAGGGAATCCCTCCCTCCATGGACTTAACTCACCGATCAACAAATGGAATCCAGGCCGCATTCGATTCTCTGATCAACCTGGCTTCTGGGGTCTCACCTATTTCCCTGCTTCCCCCACCTCCGCTTGTCATGGGTCAGAAAAAGATGTTTCGTCTAGTTTTCAACATGTTCTTCCTTCAATTCGAATAGGGCAGGAATCGGGACAGATCCCGATCGGTTTACTGTCGGCACCGAGCCCGGCAACGACACCCGGCGGTGAGATCATCCCAGTTAGGGGCCAGGTGTACCCAACCCCTCGGACCAGTCAACTTGTTGGAAATACGGAAGCTATAGGTTAGAACGTACCACAAGTTTCAGCGGCTATGCCCTCGGCGTTGGCAGTGGGTTCAGGGAGGCAGATAGAGCACCAATCGGT